ACACTGGGAAAGTCGGCTCCATCGTAGGGGGGGCACCGCGGCCGCCTTTGACTGATATCGCCGGTCATGCCTCTATGCTGGATCTTCGCCGGGGGGGCACGTGCCCCGGCAGCCCCCCCTCCCTCCGACCCTGTTTAGGCTTACACATTGAGAGAATTTGATGAGTCAAAGCGCTTAGATGAACAGTTCCAAAAGTCAAATGTGGACAAATACAGGGGGACGGAGGGAGTACTCCGTAAACGAATTTTACATTTTGAGAAGTACGAAATATCTCATTTTCAAAATAAGATTCAAATTAGTTTTAAATTAAAAATAAATTCAAAATTATCTTCGCATTACTTAGGAAAAACACTGTTAGCATAACGTAATGTTTTGCTTCACAAATCATAACTACGGAGTGTTTCGATACTCGTTTCATCCCATAATGAATTGAATGTTACTCTTCCAACAACGTACAAAATCTTATTATTTTTAAATTATTTTATAAAAATTGAAATAGAAATAAATGTATAAATTACATTATTGAAAAGATGCATGAAAACTCAAAAGTACATGGAATTTGGAAGAAAACTAGGAAAAATAGAATAAATAACCAAGAAATTGAAAGAACTGAAAGAAACTAGAAAAAATTTAAAAAATTTATTTTAGTGTATTTTTCATAATATTTTTATTATTATTTTTATTTTTGTTTTCGTTATTAATATTACTCTTGTTGTTGTTATTTTTATTACTATTATTATATTCATAATATGTAAAAAAATGAATAAAATTTAGATTTGTGATAGAGGGAGTCGTATAATTATTGCGGAGTATTTTTATTTAAAATATTGATGTTTTACCTCATACCAATTTAGATTAATAAAATATCCATAATATTTGGAATATAGTTTAGTGTCATGTAAATTTATAAAAAAATAATTTTCCTAATAAAACTGTATTATTTCTATTTAAAAAATGAATGAAAAATAATAATGACGGTGAATCAGAAAAATAGAGACATGGGAAAAAATAAAAATTAAAATAATTTATAAACAATAGCTATCTTTATCTTTATCTATACAAAGGTAATGTGTAAATCATAAATAGTGCAATTTTCCCACCCAAATGTATCGGGCAAAATTAGGCTAATGGGCTGGAGAGGAGTTTAATAGGTTGCGTGATAGGTAATGATGCTTTGTGGGGAACCGTGATAATAAGCACCTTCCATTAGTCGTGGCTCGATGCAAATTTTATGTCAAATCAAAATAAATAAATAGGTAGTCTATTGCTAGAAAACCGCGTGTGTAGTAAAATTATTGTGTGGCTCGATGCAAACTTAATGTCAGATCAAAATAAATAAATGGATAGTGTATTGATATAGAACTGCGTAAGTAAAAATGTTGGTGCGTGGCTTGATGCAAACTTTATGTCAAATCATAATAAATAAATGAGTTGTGTATTGCAAAGGAACCACATGCTTAGTAAACTTGGCACGTGGCTCGATGCAATCTTTATGATATGTCAAATCAAAATAAATAAATGAGTGGTGTATTGCTATAGAACTGCGTGCATAGTAAAGCTGGTGCGTGACTCGATGCAAACTTTATGTAGAATTAAAATAAACAAAGGAGTAGTGTATTGATATGGAAATGCGTGCGTAGTAATGTTGGTGCGTGGTTCAATGCAAACTTTATGTCAAATCAAAATAAATAAATGGGTAATGTATTGCTATAGAACCGCGTGCGTAGTAAAGTTGGTGCGTGACTCGATGTAAACTTTATGTCAAATCAAAATAAATAAATGAGTATTGTATTGATATGGAACCGCGTGCATAGCAATGTTGCTGCGTGGCTCGATGCAAATTTATGTCAAATCAAAATAAATAAATGGGTAGTGTATTGTTGGGAAGCCGCGTGCATAATAAATTTGATGTGTGACTCGATACAAACTTTATGCCAAATCAAAATAAATAAATGGATAGTGTATTAATATACAATCACGTGCGTAGGAATGTTGGTGCATGGTTTGATACAAACTTTATGTCAAATCAAGATAAATAAATGGGTAGTGTATTACTTTGGAACCGTGTGCGTAGTAAAGTTGGTGCGTGACTCGATTCAAATTTTATGTCAAATCTAAATAAATAAATGGGTAGTGTAATACTATGGAACTACGTGCGTAGTAAATTTAGTGCGCGACTCGGTGCAAACTTTATGTCAAATCAAAATAAATAATGGGTAGTGTATTGATATGTGATAGAATTTAGGATGAGTATGGACAACAGGATTGGGTAATAAGACACTTGGGCTGAACCACATTAAAAGATTGAATTCAATCGATTAGTTAGTTCAACTCAAGAGCTTATATACCGATTATTTTCCTCACACTTTTCCGATGTGGGATACTCTTAACACTCCCCCTCAAGTGGACAACCGGACCATTTTGAATCTAACCGGTTGACCACTTGCAAATGAACTCCCATTCCCTTGACTTATTTTTTTGAGCGCCAACACCTAAATTAAAGGACCACGAGTCGCTGGGTATGGACTTCTAGACGAGCAATCGTGTTAAACGGGCCACAGGCCGTTGAGTACATACTCCTTACGGACAACTGGGCTAAAGACTAACGGGCCGCTAGGAATGAACGTCTAGACGGACACCTTGACAAACGAGGTGGGCCAAAACCTGCTGTGATACCATGATAGAATTTAGGATGGGTATGGACAACAGGATTGGGTAATAAGACACTTGGGCTGAACCACATTAAAAGATTGAATCCAATCGATTAGTTAGTTCAACTCAAGAGCTTATATACCGATTATTTTTCTCACACTTTTCCGATGTGGGATACTCTTAACAATATGGAACCGTGTGCCTAGTAATGTTGGTGCGTGACTTGATATAAGCTTTATATCAAATCAATATAAATAAATGGATAGTGTATTGCTAGAGAACTGCTTGCGTAGTAAAGTTGGTGCTTGACTCGATACAAATTTTATGTCAAATCAAAATAAATAAATGGTGCGTGAGTCTTCAACTTTGTACTTTTATAACAATAATCCTTATGTTTATTTTGTTATCTTTGAAATATTTACATACGAATCAAGTACTTTCATTAATATACGTGAATTTTTTCTATTATTTGGAGAGTAGAAAAAGATTGAAGAAAATGGGAATAGTTGAAAAAACTAGAAGAAACAAAAAATATTGGAAGAGATTGGATAAACAGGAAAGAACTAGAAAAAACTAGAAGTAACGGTAAAAAACTAAAAGAAACTAAAAGAAATTGAAAGTTAAAAGTTTAAGCGCTAAAAGCTCTTACTAAAAGTTTGATACTCTTTGTTGGGAAAAATATTATAGATTTTGATGATGATTTATGTAATAGGGACTTTAGGTCTCCCCCAATATTCAATGTAATTTTTCTTTTTAGAAATATTGTTAAAACCAAGTTCTTGAGTTTTCCAATAAAACTGTGATATTTCTTTAAGCGTTTTGATGCCTGAAGACTTGATCAAATTCAGTGATATGAAAATTGGATATCTTGATCGGAAGTGTCAGAAACAAGTAAGGATTTCTCAATCAGATAAAAATCCTCAGATCCGGAAAGACTACATAAGAACCGGATGTCTCGCTACAACCCGCTGAAGGCTAAGTTATTCAAATCGGAAGACTAGCGCGGATCTCCTTCTCACCCGGAAGTAAGACTCATCCGGATTTGTCAGCTAAGAATCGGAAGACTCACCAAAGACCGGAATTCTCAGAAAGCGGACAAGTGAGAAAAGGCTTAGAAAATCATCTAAGTCCTGAATGAAGAAATTCTACCCGTGGCAAGGAAAAATCAATCTCTTGATTTTCAACGGCTAGAATGAAGATAATTAGGCTGATTCAAGAACAAATTACTCGAAGACAAAGTCTGGGTCTCTAAAATTAAAGAGCCTGCCCGGAA